GGGGGGGGGGGGCAGTCTTAATGCAGTTTTTTGTAGGAAGGTCTGCTACTGTGATAAAGATGCACTATGGAGTAGCCTGACTTTTCATTCACAGTCCTCAGCACAGATACTGTCATGTATTTGGGGAGAAAATCTTAATTAAGGAAACAGAAAAACACTAACAATATATGTATTTTAGGTGTACTAAAGCACTGTATTACAGCAGTGTGGAGGCATTGGAAGCTATGTCTGACCAAGAATTACAAGAACTCTTCAGAGAAGCTCCATTTGCTGAAATGATGTTTGAACCTGGAATGAGTGTACTTGAGTTGTGTGTCAAAACAAATGCCATTCAAGATGGACCCAGTGGGTATGTTGTATTCTTTAATTTAATCCTGTTTGTTATATGGTCTACAATTGTACACTTCCAGAAATTCATATTCCACAGTGTTTTTATTCAGGTCAGTTATATCAAAACAGCAAAGTAATCATTCATCTGAGAAATCGATTAGTGAGGTGTTGATGATCTGCCTATAAATACTGTAAATTGAAGCAGGAGACAAGCATAGGTGTAGAAGTTGCACAACACTAGATTGACTTATAAATTATGATAAAGGTAAAGTAATTTGATAGGTCTTACCTCTGCTGCTAAAATCATCCTCACTGCTGTATTCATTGGAGTGTTAGAATGTTGCTATCTGCTAAAATTCATTAAGTAACTAAGTCTGTGCACCAGAACCAATTCCAAATGCACTAAAAGGGAAAATAGAATTGGTTGACTAAACCTCAGTATTGAAACAAGTGTATGTATTGCTGTCAGTGCACCAGATTAAAAGCCATGAATAATGAATGGTCTGTCTTTTGACTGAAGCATCAGGTATTGGACACTAGAGGGAATGAACAAAACAGGTAGTCAGCAAGTGACCTATCTTTTATCATCCATTCCTAGCTTTTGACAAACAGAAGCGAGGGCTGTTACAGAGCATGGTGTTGCATTTCTGCCTATCCTGGCTAATAAGCCATTCATGGACCTATCCAGTTTTTTTAACCCTGTTGTATTCTTGGCATTCACAACATCCTTTGGAAAAAGCATGGATTGGTGTCCTTTAGGAACGTGACTGGTACCAATCTCAGTTGACTTGGACTGAACTTGAATAAGTGACCTAGAGGCAAGGATTTCATATTCCATTTGGAAAAGTTGGGCAGTTCATGTCTCCCACACCAAAAATAGAGTAAATTCTTTTTTTTCTAATCTGAATGTTTGAGGGTTGGCAATAATCATTTTGTGATTACTGTTTTGTTTTAAGGTACCAGAAGATTACAGATGGTGGAGTCTCTATAAATTACATGCAAGTAACTAATCCAGAAGCTGTTCTTGTTATTGGGCAACATATCCTCAAGAATGGAGTGTCAGTACTTAGGATTGGAAAGAAAAACTTCTACCTTATAAAATGGCTGCAGTTGTGACAAAGGAAATAATTAAAATGTAAGATACACCTTCGCACAAAGTTTTCCGGACTTACCTTGTCCTTTCTATATTGTGCATATTGCACAGCTCACGAGAACAGCCCAATAGGAGAGTAGTGTTTGTCTCGTTCTTCTCACAATGTGAGATCCTACCTAATGGTTCAAATAAAGCAGCTACATTCACAAAAGGATAATTTTGTATTTGTTTTAATTTTGATAATGTTAATCTGAGAGGTTTGCTACATACTATGAGTCATGAAGCAAAGAATATACTAAAACTCAGCAAAATATTCCATTTAGTCTACCTCCAAAAATCTTTGGCAATTATCAATTGCCATTCACATAATCAGTTCTCAAACAGAATTCTCAGTGCAATAAATGTGCCCCAGAATCAGTCTGTTCTTTTGCCATCAGGATTGTGAAAAACTAATTCTCTGCCCCCATCCTATACCCTCAAGAAAAGATCTGTTTTGTGCTCTAGTTTGAGGCTTTCATTTTGTTTGAACAGTGACAAACTTTAAACACTGGACACTCATTTCAACTGGTGCCTACAAACTTTTATCCAAAAAGATGAGCTATGATGGGATGAAGGTTGCTATTCTTCCTCTTCAGGAAATAAAGTTACAAAAATATTTGAAAAACTAAAGTTGTCAAGGCTGTTCTCCACTTTGGCACAATGAATGCAGAAATGGGTGCCTACACAAGCTCTCCAAAACCTTGCCTCTACAGGCTCTTGTACAAAAAATCCCCTCTCCCCCCCCCAAATCCTAATACCAGGATTTTGGAGAATCCACTGCCACCATCAATTGCTTTTAAATCCACAAGATCTTTTTCCCAAAAGATCTTGTAAAAGAGAAACAAGCTGACCCCTCAGTCAGGAAAGCAGATACACACAGACGGACATTCCAGGACACAAATCAACCAATACTGGATAATTAGAAAAAGAAAAACTTTTATTATCAAAACAAAACTACAATTGCAAACATAGTAAAGTGGCTAGATAGAAAGAGGGGTGGACCTCTTAACAGCTCAGACATTAGTTCCAAATGTCTGACCCAGGAAATAAGCAAGCAATGAAAAATTTTAATGCATCCATCTATTGGGAAAGAGAGCCACCGGCATCATCTTGCAGAATGAACAATCATTGGCCAATCTGACTTCATCCTGACAGAGCAACCTACATAAACCAGCAAGGAGACGCAAGTTCAAACTTGAAGATAACAGGTATCCTCTGCTGGGCAGTGTGGCTTTCATCAGTGTAAGACACGCAACATAAAAGCAGACTTGGGTGAGCCTCACTTAAAATGTAAACTGTCTGATCTTACCAAATCCATAGCCATTGAAAGTGTGGTCTTAGACCATGAAATCTATTGGGGGTCCCCCCCCCTTTGGTATTTTTATACTATACAGATTTCGTGAGGGAGATTAGCTTTTCTCACATTGAGAGTCCTGACCCAAAAGGCAGTTCCAGAGGGGTTGCAGCTACCCTTATATCTGTGCAGCTTTGAGAACTTGGCAGCCAGAGAGCAGCCTTAAGGCCAAGATCTGCAGGCAGCAGAATAGAGATAAGGGTAGCAATACTGTACCATCATATCCTCACTTCTGCTGCAGCTGGCGGGCTTCCAGCCAACAGTTGCTGCTCTCCAGCTGTCCAACTTTGAAGGCAGCACTGCCACAAGCATCAGTGCAGAAATAAAGGCAACAGTACTGCAACCCCCCACAATTCCGTTTTGGGTGAGGACCCCTACAATTACAAAACTGTAAAGATTCAGATTTAAATAGCTGAAATAATTAATTTTAAAAACCTTATGGCTTTGAATATGACAAAAGTGAACTGCATATTTGGTAGACCCTAATTATAATAGTAATTGGCAGGCAACTTCTAACCCAGATAAAGTACATCATGCTATTCTAGCCCAGACCTGGACAAAATACAGCCCAGGGGCCAGATCCCGCCCACAGCCCCCCCCCCCCCCCCCCACTGGGACCTTCAGGCACATAGCTGCTGCTGTTTAAAACCCAATACCTGCATCTCTGTGCTGTGCAGGGAGGGAGAGACTTCATGTGATCTCCCTGCCCCCAGCCCAATCCTCAGTTCCTATTGGCCAGAAACAACCGGCTGCCAATCTATCAGCTTCTGTTGGCTGGAAACAGCCATCCAATCACAGCTAAGAGATTGGCTTGAGTGACAGGGGCAATGCAACCCTCTTCCCCCATGCTGAGTTCAGAGCCAGAGCCACCTGGAAAGAGGAAGCTGCATTTTCCAGCAAGGGAGGTGGGGGGAGGAGAGAAGAGTACTGCAACCTGCTGGCCAGGAGCCCACCTAGGTAAATTCCCAGCCAGCGCTGGCCTCTAGCACCCCAGCCCTTCCTGCACCCCCAACTCCCTCACCCATCCAAACCCTCTGCATCCCCCTTCCCCAGGTCACAACTTCCTTCCAGACCTGTACTCCCTCTAAAACCCTTCCCCCAAGCCAGAATCCTGCACTCACACTCCCTCCCTGACCCTACATCCCAGTCCCCTGACCCAAGTCACAACCCTCCTCCACCCAAACACCCTCTCAGACCCCACACCCCTCCACAGAAGTACAGCCCTTGACTACTTACCAAAATCTTGGAGTGGCCCCCCCCACCAAAAATTATTACCCACCCCTGTTTTAGCCTCTCGTAGGCTGTGCATCTGCATAATCTAAATGTATTGTATCGCCTAAACCCCTCCAAGGCTCTATTGTGCTAAATGGTCTACAAACACCAAGCAAAATGTTTAGTTTTCCCACATTACATAAATCAATTACATTAAGAAACCACACGTTCCAGTTCTTATATCTTAAGGACTGGCTGGACTTCGGTGTTAAATTCCACATCATTTCAGACTTCAGCACTATACATAAAAGGTCACCCCACTGAATCGATGCAAGTCTATTTTCTTTCAGCTCTGCAAGCAAGCACAACTGCAAGGAAAGTCTGAGATATTTACCCTACTGCATATTGCATGAGGCAAAAATCGTGCTGTTCACTCAATCATTCCTATTCAAAATTAACATCTTTTCATGCCTTAAAATGGGAATCCTATCCCTGTCCTTTTGCCCAAAGCCACATACAGAGGCAGCAGTGGGAGGTGTCAGCAGCCCTTGTCTGGGGGGTGGGGGACTGTCTGAGCTCCCCACAGACAGAGACTGCTGCAGGGGGAAGGCTCCCAGCACATTACTTCGTGGCAGCCTCCTCCCCAACCCAGCTGCTGGCTGCTGTCTTTTAAGCCAGCTCCCCCTGACCCTTTGCTGCCTCTGATAAAGGGAAATGTGAGTAGTCAAAAAGATTAACCCATAAGTGTAGGCTTATGGGTTAATTACATACTCTACTACTTGTTTACATCCCTAGTTTGAATATATCTAGGCTGCCCCCCACCTTGACAGTAGAACATGGGGTCCTGTAAGAACCCTTAAAATACCCTGCCACTAAAGGCTTGTTTTAAAAAAAAAAAAAACCTCTTCAAGGTCACAGATTCCCTGACCTTGGTTGGTATGCTACCACCACCCAAATGCAAAAATCCCCTGGAATCCAGAAAGATGAACTTGGGAACTTCTTCCTATGAGGTGACTCCAAGCTCTTTAAATCTCCCTCAGGAGAGAGCTTGAAAACAAACTATAATTTCTTACTAGCTAATCTTCTGTCTCAGGCACATTTACACAGAACCTCCTAGGACACAAGAGTCTGATCAGTCTTAAAAAGGTGATTTTTAGTAACAAAACCAAGACAACATACTTGGGAAAGCATACTTGATTGCCAGGAGATAGAGCAACTGAAAAAAAGAAAAAAGCAGATTAAAGCACAGAGAATTGCTTCCCTGGAATTCAGTTTAAAAGTTTTTTTTGGAGGCGGAGTTTAGCACAGAGGAGTTTAAACAAACAAACAAAACCTGATCACATCTAATTAAACATTCTCTGTTTACTTAGGGTAAATATACACTTGCACCCTCTTTCGAAAGAGGGATGCAAATGCAGCTGAGTGAAATTACAAATGAAGCGTGGATTTGAATTTCCTGCACTTCATTTGCATATTCGAGTTATATTGCTATTTCGAAATAGCGCTATTTTGAAATAAAAACGCTGTGTAGATGCAGTTATTTCAAAAGATGTCCCTACTTCTGAAATAACCCTTATTCCTCATAAAATGAGGTTTAACAGTTATTTCGGAAGAAGGGTTTTCTTTCAAAATAACTGTCTAAACAGCACATGTTATTTTGAAATAGCGGCTGTCCGCAATTATGCAAATGAAGCACAGGATATTTAAATCCCCTCTTTATTTGCAATTTCAAATGCCTACATTTGCATCCCTCTCTTGAAAGAGGGTGCAAGTGTAGACATACCCATACATATCCTCTGCTCCAAGGTTCAGTCTGATAGCAGTTTTCAAGTATCTAAAATGGTGTTATAAGGAGGAGGGAGAGAAATTGTTCTCCTTGGCCTCTGAGGATGGAACAAGAAGCAATAGGCTTAAATTGCAGCAAGGGAGGTTTAGGTTGGACATTAGGAAAAACTTTGTCAGGGTGTTAAATACTGGAAAAAATTGCCTATGAGATTTGTGGAATCTCCATCACTGAAGATATTTAAGACCAGCTTAGACACCTGTCAGGGATGATCTAGACAGTGCTTGGTCCTGCCATGAGGGCAGGGGACTGGATGTGATGACCTCTCAGGGTTCCAGTTCTAGTGTTCTAGGATTCCTTAGGCATGAATATCACTGAAAAATCCATGCTTTTATTCCTGATTCAGTCCATCTGTTTACCCCAGCTCCTGCTCTGATCTCTCACACAAAGGATACTGAAGCAGGCAAAAACTGTTTCATTTCTAATCTCTCTTCCCATTGGGTCTTCTGGCTCCCTGCTAGCACTTCCTGAATGCTCTGGGTTTAACTCTTAATAGGCAATTTAGTTAACTGTATGCTGGGATGTCTAGCAAAGAATCCCATCCATCTCAGAATAATTCCTTCAATTTTGTGGGAGAATGTGTCTTCTGGTGATTGGGATATGTTTCATGGAAGGTTATTTGCTGAGTCTTCAGTTATCAGTTGCCTTCTAATTTTTGTGGAGACTTCAATACAGTTGAACTCGGTTGCTGCTACAGTGAGAGCCATAATTAAAAAACTAAAAAGCTCTCGTCCACTAGTGTCCCTTCTCTACTTACCCTATACAGATGACATCTTCATCACCTGGACACATAGGAAGGTGGCTCTGGAAGAATTCCACTGCAATTTCAACAAATTCCACCCCACCATCAACCTCAGCCTGGACCAGTCTACACAAGAGATCCATTTCTTGGACACTACAGTGCAAATTAGTAATGGTCACTTAAACACCACCCTATACCAAAAACCTACTGACCGCTATGCCTACCTTCATGCCTCCAGCTTCCATCCCAGCCAAGCACTAGAATACAACTGCATTTGCTGCAACCCCTCAGACAAACACCTACAAGATCTTCACCAAGCATTCCTGAAACTACAATACCCGTCCGAGGAAGTGCGGAAACAGATTAACAAAGCCAGATGTGTACCCAGAAGCTGCCTACTACAAAACAAGCCCAAGAAAGAAACCAACAGAACACCACTGGCCATCACCTACAGTCCTCAGATAAAACTTCTCCGACGCATCGTCAGTGATTTACAACCCATCCTGGACTTTCACAGGCCTTGGGAGGCAGGCCAGTCCTTGCCCACAGACAACCTGCCAACCTGAAGCAGACTCTCACCAGCAACTATACACCACACCACAGTAACTCAGGAACCAATCCCTGCAACAAACCTCGGTGCCAACTCTGCCCACATATCTACACCAGCGACACTATCACAGGACCTAACCAGATCAGCCACACCATCACAGGTTCATTCACCTGCACATCTACCAATGTAATATACGCCATCATGTGCCAGCAATGCCCTCTGCTAGATACATCGGCCAAATTGGACAGTCCCTTTGTAAAAATAAAAAGACACTGATCAGGTATCAGGAATGGTAATACAGGCAGTCCCCGGGTTACATGGATCCGACTTACATCGTATCCCTACTTACAAACGGGGTGAGGCAACCCCGCACTAGCTGCTTCCTCCCAGCAGACCAGGGAGACGCAAAGCTAGCCCCCTCGCCCCCAGCAGACCAGGGAGACGGAGCGGCTTTTCTCAGCAGACACCTCAGCTTGAGAATAAAGGACTGAGGGAAGTGAGGTGAGAGAATAAAACTGAGCTCTGGAGAAATGTTTGGCTAGAGTTTCCCCTACAATATGTACCAGTTCCGACTTACATACAAATTCAACTTAAGAACAAACCTACAGTCCCTATCTTGTACATAACCCGGGGACTGCCTGTACTATCTTGTACGTAACCCGGGGACTGCCTGTATACAAAAACTTGTAGAACACAGTAGCAGATTTAAAAGTAACCATCCTGCAACAAAAAAGCTTCAAGAACAGACTTCAAAGAGAAACTGCTGAGCTACAGTTCATCTGCAAATTTGACACTATCACTTTAGGATTAAACAAAGACTGTGAATGGATAGCCAAATACAAAAGCAGTTGCTCCTCTCTTGGTGTTCACATCTCCACATCAGATGCTAGAAGTGGGCCTCATCCTCCCTGACTGAATTGACCTCATTATCTCCAGCCTTACTCTTGATTGGCACTGTTTTCTTAAGCCTATATATTTATACCTGCCTCTGGAATTTCCACTATGTGTATCTGACAAAGTGGGTCTTTGCCCACAAAAGCTTATGCTCCAATAAATCTGTCAGTCTATAAGGTGCCACAAGACTCCTCATTGCTTTTAGAGATCCAGACTAACATGGCTACCCCTCTGATAATTAAAAAAACACTGTTCTTTCGTTTCCTGGCTCTTATATTCAGTATTAGAAGATTTACCAGGCATTGCTTGAGTCCTTAGCTCAATTTTTGTTTTTCATTTAAATCATTGCTTGAGGGTGGGGCTTGGGATGAGAAGTTGAGTGTGCAGGCTGCCCCAGGGAGAGACAACTACCCCAGCGCTTTCTCACCACAGCAGCATGGGGCCAGGTGAAAAGTCCCTTTTTGTGGTCGCTGCAGCAGGCACAGACAGGGGTGGGGTGCATGTACTCTGGCTGGGGTGGACAGACAGACACACAGATAAATCCTCTGAAATATGTAGTAGAGAGCCGTCCCTTTCTCCACTCCTGCCTCCTGTTGGCCCAATGGGGTTATTGAGGAAACGGGGGGAGACTTCAGCCCCCTTTGCCCTCTCTAAAGGGCGCTGGGGGTGCAAGGCTCAGGGATGAGGTAGTGCCAGACGGGAGGGGCATGGTATGCCCCCAGCCAGCCCATTTCACTTGCCTCGTGATTGTCTCTCTTCTGTTTGGTTTTATGAGAAACAATCCCATTCTGGGATTTGGTTCCTAATATAACCAAATCCTTACCTTGATTTAAGTTGTAAGAGAAAGGAAGCTGTATACTGATTTTTGTGATCCTAGCTCTTACTGTTTAGAGGGAGTTATTGAACAGAGACAGATTCAAACATTAGATACTAGGGATGAAAGCAACTAGTCGACTATCCAATAAGCATATGCTTATCAGATTGAGGTGACTAGTTGCTTCCCTCCTCCCCCCCGCCTCTATCAGAGAGGCAGCAAGCGGGGAGGGCGGGGGAGACAGGAGCTTGGGGAAGGGTTTAAAGAAGGGTAGGTCAAAGAAATGCACCTTACACTTGGAGCAGAAAGTGGGATTCTTCACTATTGGTTGCACCAGTGAGTGTTTGAAATAGGAAAGCAAGGTTGTTTCTGGGAAAGAGATGTTGACTCTTGGTCAGGAGTGGTGTCAACTATCCATGATTCTTTCACACACCAGGATGACGAATTGTATTTCTAAGTTCTGAGTCAGGACTCAGGGTGTCCAGAACTTCTTGCTGTGTTACGGTACTCAACTCTGTGAATGCAGGTGAGCTGTTGGTTGATGGAGGCAAAGCAGATCCGTATGATTTGAAAAGCCATCCCAAATGTGCACGGCCTTAGCACAGTAGAATGATAGCGCTTCATAAAATAACCATGACAATCTTAGCCTTAGTGAAGTCACGAGCAATGAATGAAAATTCATGGAGCTGTGACCTGTCCGTAACTTTCACTACAATAATGACAAAATGGGAAGAGGCAGATCCAGCACCTAAAACTGCTGAAGCTCCATGGTTTCCCCACCACTGTGATAGCAGGGAGTTGCAAGATGAATCTTTATCCAAAAGAGAAAACAGGACACCCCCACCCGCCGCTTTCCTGAGCATCTCCTCCCTCTAGTGCAAGGCTGTTATTTGGAATCCTGTAGGGCCCTCTCAGGAGACCGGTGCTCGTCGTTGGAACCTGCTACAGCCCCTTCCCCCCCCAAGGACTGAAGCACAAAATGTCACAGGTTTCTAGAAATCAGATTCTGAGACTTCCATCACACCTCCATGAAATAAAGGTAACCTTATTCTTCACAGTGCTGGATGCTTGGCTCTGATGCACACCCTTGGCATCCAGAACTAATTAAGTTGTTTACCATGCTGAATAATTCCTTGGAGTGAGTTGACAGGCTTAATAAAAGCTGACAGGAAGGTTCTCTTGGCCTCAACATTAGAAAAATAATTTATCTTCTGCTTATTTTTAAACTATCCGAAATAGGAAATTCCAACTTCACTTTTATACCTGCTGTGGTACTCAACTTTATAAAAGGTAGTGCAATGAAGGCGCAACAGCAAGTAAGGTGATAGCAAAACTATTTGAATATGAAGCACAGATTTCAAATTCTTAAGTTGGCATACAAGTGAAGAGTCTTTCAGCTTACAAAAAATTCAGAATTAATCCCTTCTCTTTCAAAGTGACCTGGCCAGTAATATCTTATTACAGTAGTTTATGTGCAATAAGCTGGTATCAAACCAGTTAAAAAGTGTTATTGTCCACCTTACAGAACTATTGTGTCAACAAATATCAAGGATTTACGAGGCACAAAAAACAGCCTCTAGCTCTGGTACCTCCAAATTGAAATGGAGACAGATAAGGTGCTTTTTCTATAGCTATGTCCATGAGGAACTTCAATTTGCAGTGATGGCCAACTAGCACCTCATTTTAAAAGTAAAGGTTCCCATAAATGTCTGGTAAGTAGGATTTGAGATGGCTGCCCACATGTATTTTAGAAATCCATTTGGTTGGGAATAACTCCCTAAAGTATACACACACATCCTGCTCCCACTTACCCCCACGTAAGTAAAAGTTAAAACTGACCACTTAAAAAAAAAGTAATTTATTGATATGAAAGCTATGTGCAAGTTGTTCACACTATGTTTTATTTACAGTAGTAATGTACATACAGCAGGTATTAAATGTCAAATTTCTATTTTTCCAACTTGTTTTTCTCCCTTAATTACTTGCTTATGTCAGTAGTTTTATTGGATACTGGATTTGTTCAAGATGTGCAAAAAAAATTTTGATGAACAAATGTTTTAAAATTAAATTTCTCAAACGTGTTCGAATTTCATTTCCATAGATTTGTTTCTATGAAAGAAAACTTACAACAGATTGTGTACACAGAAAAAAACAGAAAGGTTTAGAAATGAAATTAAATTCTCCCTGTTCCTTCCCCCCACCCAAGTATAAAACCAAAGAACTAGGGCCTGGTCTATGCTAGGTTTCTCTAAAAAATTCCATGCCATTTCTTCTAGTGATGAAAGTAACAACCAGAGTGCTTCCATGGACAAAGTGCCTATGACTGCTAGTATTTTAACCATACCATTTTCTATCACTGCTTAAACTACTTCTTATTGTGCTTAAAACACAAGCAGCCATCTGAGTCCTGTCGATGCTAAAATTCCCATAGCTGTACTAAAACTAGTGATAGGAAATTATGGGAGAACAAATCCCAGTATAGAAAAAGCTGTACAAGTATAGCTGTATTAGAAACCTAAAATTCAGATGGTGATGGGCTCTGACACAGTTCTTCATAATTCACAGTTGCCAGTCTGATATAATTAATACATTATACATTATTTAATTTAAATCAAAGGATGATGATAATGCCTGGATTGATTTTTTTCAGAATGTAGTGATAATGGCAGACAAAAGTTAGTTTCTTTTTCAATCCATATATCCTCAGCTTATTTATGTACAGTGATACCAAAATATTACTATACCATTTTCAAGGAGGATTCAGGTCACCAATGCTAATTAACACTCAACTGTATTGTTTGTTGAAAAATTTTCATCTTTCACTTATCAGAATTTCTTGAGTAAGCTGTACCCATTTGCTTTGTGCAGCCACTGGAAAGTTCACGATTAGTATATTTCCTGATAAAGAGACTTTAAATTATATTTGCCAATTAACCAGTGATTAACCTCTTTGTCATCCACTAATTTGTTGAAAAGAAACATTTCTAAGCCAAGAGGGTATATATAGGTGGTTGGATTGGAAGACTAGGGCAAGGAAGAAGCACAGTTTCAGAGAGCTGAACTGTATTAAAAGTGGATTCCAATTAAAAGAAGTTCATTTAAAATAACTGTTGGTTAAACTAGTATGAAAATTGGTTCTCAGTCTGACTCTCTCTCTCTTTTGGACTCTCGTGTCCAGAACCACAGGAAGCATTTTTCCCTGGTAAGGAAGAATGATAAATTGGTTTATGTTGATTAAATAGAATATTTAACATGTAAAGTTCCACGCTGCTTACCAATGTGACATTAGGGAGATGGGATTGTTAAGGCAAATAACGTTGTTTCCATCTGTTGATCTAAATTCTGTTTGAGCATATCAGTGATAAATGAATATTGAGAATTATCCGTTATTGTAAATTAACCCCTTAAATGTTGGCAAGTGATCGTATTTGTACATTTATAATTTAGCACCTTAAACTGGAATTCAGATTATGTCAAGTGATGGACTAGTGAAGAGACTGTGTGTGGTGGAAGAGAAACTACAGTTTTACTACAGGCCTAATGTACAGAGAAGAGCCATAAATTGTGGATAGTGATGTCTATTTAATTCTTCAACAAATAAATGTGCATGTGAGAGAAACAACATCAGAAACAGCATCACGAACACATCTATTTTATCAACTAAATCTGTGGGGAAATATACATGCAAGTGTGCTGGAGTCGCAATTCAAATTATAGGAAGCTATAATGCATCACAAAATTTTTACTTTAAGAGGCTAGTGTGATCAACATTTACTATGCTGCCTTCAGCTAGAAGAAAACAACAAACCACCATGTTTGTTAATCTTAAAATAAATTGGGTTATCTTAGAAAAATTCCTCACAACATTGTAAAATGTGTTTTTCCCGGAGGGCAATACTTAAAGTAGACTCTTGTATAAACATTCTAGTCCTGCTGTCTCTTCTACAGATACTCTTAGCCTTCATATTTCCCAAAATATTGGAAAAGAACTTAAAAAAAAGCTCACCTCCTCACTGTCCAACCTAATTTTAAAAGAAACACTTATTATCCCACAATAGTTTTGAAATTTCATTTTATTTTTAAATTCCACAAAAACAATTTTGTTAGTGGATGGTCCAGAGGTTTGGTCCCAGAGGGGGGAAGGGGTCCTTGCACTTGATTGTCAACCCCAACAATGAAATGCAAACTCTGGTGCACATTCATTGGTTTGCACCAACTCCTTAGTACATCCTCCTGTTTATTTAAAGTTCCAGGCTAACTCACCTAAAGTCATATTAATTTAGCCAGTTCAAAAATGTGTTTTATACTGCAGCTTTCTCTTCAAATTCTGGGGAAAAAATGGTTGCACACATATAACATTTTTACTGTGCCAACTATCAAATTCAGGTCTCTATTTGCCATGGTGCATGCAATATACTCATGGAAGAACACCCAGTGCTTTCTCCTCTTTATGGTATTTAAACCTCTATTGTAAAAGCAGCTTAAAAACTATGCAACAAGACTACACTGTCCAGGCACTAGAACTTTAATGGTTCTGCCTAAGTTTAAATGATACTGTCACCAGACAGTAAACTTGGTCTGTTTTATTTGCACCAGAAAACTGGTAAGGAAACATTTAGAGCCATGTATTATGTGGATTAAATATGACTTGTTTTGCAAAGTACAGCATACTTGTCTGTCTGTAAGCCAAACCAACTGTCTTTACATGAGCAAATTTACACATAGTTGCAGTACACAGATAAGAGTTCATAAATAAAATTCTACCAGGTATACAACGCTTAGCAAATGTTCAAGTCATCAGGATTCTCCACCCATATAAACTGTGTGGCGGGTAGAGATAACCTTCACCAAAGATGAGTCTCTCGAATCTCAGCAATAATCTGACTGGCTCGCTGCAATGCCTGCACAGAGGGGAAAAACACAAGAAGAAATATTAATTACCACCCTATTTGCCTCATGTGAGAGCTAGGAGATAATTCTTTGGAAGATTATGTCTATTCAGCCATGTTTTACAAAACAAGATCATTGTTTTCACTGCTGGGAGGCGTAATTCAATAATATCTGTAAGAGGCCTTTCAGATCCCCAGACGGAACATACTACACAAGTACAAAATATTACAAAAACAAAGTATTGTCACAATTGTAACCCACAATTAATGCGTCAAGTCACCCCCTCCCCCCTCAACCTCATTAAAGAACTGAAAGTGTTAGAAATACATGCAAAACAAAAAGGTTGTGTTCCAGCCATAACTTTGAGACTTGTCTTTTGGTTTGAAAATGTTCTCACCTATCCAAAAGCCCCAATGTATTTGTACTAATCCTCCATGGTGATAATTAAGTCTTTAGATAAGCTACATACCTATTTGCTACTATTTATATCATTACAACATGCACAGAATAAAACAGTTTCTGCAATCAATGTATAAATTGCATTTATTTTGTACCTTGTACCTAGCTGTCATTTTAAACAAACTTCATAAATCACTTTATGATAAGTACCAACAATGCACCCAGGACCACACAAGACATGACTCAGGCCCCAAAGAGTTTACAATCAACAAAATTCTTTCACTGATTCAAACATGTGGCTCAAGTAAGAGAAGAGATTTAAAATTACACTTGTTATATCCAGTCTTGGAACTGTGACAGCTTAGGGGCTCTAGTATCTCTAATATGCAGAGTCAATACCTGCTCATTCAATGAGAGAATTGCCCCATGCTATATCTCCCTCACTGTGCTGATTTGATCGTCTGGAAAAAGAACGGTTACTTACCTGTAACTGTTGTTCTTTGAGATGTGTTGTTCATGTCCATTCGAAGTAGGTGTGCGTACCGCGTCTTCCGGAGCATTTTCCCTAGCGGTACCCGTAGCGCCGGCAGGGCACTCCCTGGAGTGGCGCCGCCATGGCAGGGCATAAGTACCCCTGCCAGCACTGCCCCACCTCAGTTCCTTCTTGCCGGACACTCCGATGAAGGGGAGGTAAGGTGGGAGTCGAATGGACATGAGCAACACATCTCGAAGAACAACAGTTACAGGTAAGTAACGGTTCTTTTCTTCTTCGAGTGGTTGCTCATGTCCATTCGAAGTAGGTGACTACCAAGCTAACCCCACGGAGGAGGGGTCGGAGCAGTCATACCACCAGAGTCATGAAGGAAGGTGAACAATAAACGGATTTATTTGAACAATCCAACACTGACAAGGCACAAATTAAGAACAAAGACAACCGGATATATATATTTACATATTTACATCACAGATTCGAGGACTGCAGAGCCCACCCTTGCATACTCCCTGGCCTGCTAAGGTAGCGCATAGTGTGTTGCAAATGTGTGAAGGGAAGACCAGGTGGCTGCCCTGCAAATTTCTGTGATTGGTACCTGGGCACCAAAGGCCACCGAGGACGCCTGCGCCCTGGTAGAGTGTGCCTTCACCCTGGGCGGGGTTTTACCAGCCAGTTGATAACATTCTATGATGCACTGCACCACCCATCTTGATAGCCTTTGTGTCGAAATA